TATGCTAACAAAAGATTTGATCAATTGCAGTTCTAAATAACAATGAGAAGATACAAGTAAAACAACACTGAATGAGTTTCATTGTTTGTTTGTTTGTTTTCCATAGAAAAATCATCAATTTATGTCTAGTTTTCACCTTTTATGCATTATGCTTGTAAAATGTAATGATGTAATCAAGTTTTATTTTTATCAAATCAATATCTATATTTTTTGAATCTAAATAGTGGATCCGCACTGCTGAGGAGTCCTATACTAGGACGAAACGACCGTCCAGTGCTTCCAGGTTTTTCATGGTAGTCTAGCTTCAATTGACTCATGATTTCAACCAGGTAAATAGTTTTGATCAACAGTGGTATATAAATGACAATTAATTGAATTTTAAAAAGAAACTACACCACTGAATCAATTAATTTAGGGATATATATGTATATGCATTCCAAGATTAATATTTTAAATACAATATTAACGGAATACTTATTTAATGGTTGAATCTAGATCGCCATACAAAACTTGGAAGCACTAGATAACCGTTTCGTCTTAGTATGGGACTCCACAGTAGTAAGCATCCATAATCCCGTACACGGGATTCAAACGCAGGAACTCCGATCTCGTAGACGAGCGCTTAACCTGTAGACCACTGAGCCGGCTGGTATACAACGGTGTTAATGTCTAACTTCAAACAATCAATAATATTGAGCGACCATCCATTATAATTTTCATTAGGTAACTGCCTCACAACAGACACGGTTGAACTCTAGTGGTTACGGGTTCTCATTACAAATTCCAGGAAATATCTCTCGAAGCTAGTCACTAGTGAGCACATTATTATTATTATTATTATTATTATTATTATTATTATTATTATTATTATTATCAGAAAAGGGTTTTGTGGGGATGATAAAATGATAACATAACACACTCAATGAATATCTTCAATTAATATTTACTACTTAGCTTGTTTTATTTACTACTTATTAATAGTGAAATAAACTATTGTGTTTTATTGAATTCTATCATTCTCTGCAAAAAAAAAGAATACAGCTATTTACATCCTAGAATTTTTAATAGTTGAGTCTTGTATGCGGGATCATGAATACGTAATTCCGAGGAGTTCTGTACTAAGATGAAACGGTTATCCAGTGCTTCTAGATTTTCCATGATGGTCTAGTTTCAATTGATTGATGATTTCAACTATTGACATTTCTAAAATCTCCACAAAACCCCTTCTGATTGATATAACTACAATAACACATATTTGGTGATGTACCGTTACAAATACTTAGAGATTATCATTGTCATTATGTTATGAGGAACTTTGATGTGTGGGCGAGAATGATAATGATTGGTTGTCTGCTTAGTCAGATATGTAGATAGTCTGATAAGTGTCAGATGAGTTATATATTCCCCTTATCCTTATTATTATTATTATTATGTCTCACTTATTATTGATTGTTCATTGTTGTTGGATTGTGTCGGGTTTTTGGTGTGGAAATATATTTACATTGTGATCAGTCTAATCACATATTCTTAATCTGAGTTGTGTTGACGTCCTGTAGAATAGACACTAAGAGGGAATCTAGTGTCAATATTCGTCTCAGGTAAACATGCAGACCCAACCGTTATAACATTAGACAAAGTAAAAACCGAGAGTTCTAACAGAAAACACAACTAGAAATGATTACTCAGAATAGAGATCAATAAAGAATATTGATAGATAACCTATTCTCCTTCATAACATTAGGGTAACAGTACTGTGTAATTAAGTATAAATCATTAATCAAATCTCTAATATTAAATACAATAAAAATTTCTACTATCAATAATTGATAATAGAATTTTAAGTATATTACAATGAATATAAAATACCATCCACCATCATTATGAATATAAATTGAATAATTCACATAGATTTATAAAGTTTGGTTAATACGTGTTAATGTGTCATTAATATTATTATTACTATATTACTATTATTAGTAGTATTATTACTATTACTATTATTACTATTACTATTATTACTATTACTACATTACTATTACTACATTACTATTGTTACCATTACTATATTACTATTACTACATTACTATTGTTACCATTACTATATTACTATTACTACATTACTATTGTTACCATTACTATTATTACTATTACTATTAGTACTATTACTATTATTATCGTTACCATTACTATATTACTATTATTATTAGTAGTAGTATTATCCATGTATTTTATTCTAAAATATATAAAATAATAATAACATAATTGAAAATTGACAGAAGTGTACTTTTTTTAATTTAATAATTTGTACTAATTAAGTGAGAGATTACTTTCCAGGAGTAATAATCATAATCATAATACTCACCATAGTGATTGTAATAGTGAATACACTGTCAATATACATTCATATACATGCATATGTACATGCATGCAAACCATACATACATACATACATACATACATACATACATACATACATACATACATACATACATACATACATACATACATACATACATACATACATACATACATACATACATACATACATACATACATACATACACATACATATGATCTATACAGTCATTTTCACACACACATTTATATATATAAAAAGGTTAAATCAATGTTAACAAGTACTTTGAAGTCATTAAAAGTGAACAATGTAAACAATCAATCGTCATGTCAATAGTGATGGTATGATCTTGAAGTGGAATGAGTACCATACAATCAATGCGTTTAAACTGTTAATTCGGTTAATATATAAATGAATGAATGAATGAATGAAATTATAAAATTGATTGTTTTACAATTTCTATAATAAAGTGTTTCAGTTACATTTCTGAGAAGAAGAAAACAATTTGTCAATACTCACAGTCATTACTATAAGAGATAGGAGATAGGATAACAAATAATCTCCTGTAGAACTGAAATATCTGTGCTGATTGGTCAGTCGAACTAAACGTAGAGATAGATAGATGTGTGGCTAGATAGACAGATAGATAGTTAAGGGCGGCCAAACCAAAACGTAGCATCAGTCCTTGAAGTTAATGACTTCTAGTCTGAGCCATGTTGGTAGATACAGACTACTTGGTTGGGGTCCGCGTGACTATCGTAAACAATGGTTGGAGACTCTGTGTGACATGGCCCAGAATCGATCACAATTGTGTAGGTGTATACACTCTCTATCTTCCCTTAAATCATGAGATTAAAATCGCTTCATATCTTTCTTTCTACGAACTGATTCTTTCTGTCTGTACTATGTCCTTATATGCAATCTTTCTTTTATATATTAAGACCAGTGATTTAACTTTTTCTATGAATTCGGTGTTCATCTTGTTGTGCTAATGAGTAAGGTGTGGTAACTTGGACCAATGCACATATGTGTCTGGTCCTACGTTGTAGATAGATAGATTACACTCAGACAAATCAATTTTTATTTAATTGTCTAATTTTTTTCAGTATTTCCATCATGTAGGTTATACCCAATATGTATGGATGTACACAAGGATGCATTTCATTCACTTAAAAAAATGAGCTTATCATTACTGAATCCTTTAGATAAAATGATGAAAGAACTCTGTCATTTTTTTTAAAATTTCAAGTTGACAGATATCATTAAAATTTAGAAACATATATAGAACGTTCATTCGAGTTTATGTGACAATATGATTATTATAACTAATGACAACCAATAATAATAGCGCTCGCGCGCGAGACTGATAGGTCCTGCGTTCGAATCTCGCGAGGCGGAATCGTGTATGCGCACTACCATTGAGGAATCTCACAATAGGATGAAACGTCCGTCCATTGATTCCAGGTTTTCCATTGTGGTCTAGCTTCAATGGACTCATGATCTCAAGTATTAAAATAATAAGTAAACATATTAATATATCGATGAAATGTTTAAACAGAGACAGTAACTCGTTCTCTGTAATTGATGCTTCTACACACTTATATATCGAACCAAAACACAAACATATATTTATGTACATATTTATATACTGAACATACACACAATACACATGCATACGGAAGTATGACAACATTGTTTTTCAACTAAACTAGGAGTAAACACTCTACTAAGAACGAGCTCACACCAAAACACACTACATGCATACACACTTGCTGATACATGTATACATGCACAAATCTGTTCGAAGTCAATGAAACTATGACTTTTCAACTTATGACATATGGTTCATAACAATACTGATCTCCATCTGATTTGATTAGAACACTTGAATAATATCATCATTAGTTATAACAGATAAACCATGAAATCGTTTTAAATCTTGGTGAGACTATAATTTTGAGCGACGCTAAAGCAGCCTTGAGAATGTCTACCTACTGACAGGAGTTAAATGACGGTTTTAAACCTGTATGAAGGATAGGGACTGTGATTTACATTTGGTGCCTATGGTTAGAAATCGTGTTTATAGTTTTCATCACAAACTAACATTAGCTAAAATGCCAAGAAGTTATTTAGCCAAATGGATAAAGAATTTCGCGCCGAAATCAAAGACCTGTTATTGTAAATCTGATTGGTTCGTCCATAAATTATAGTCTCACCTAAATCTTTGCATATAATAAAGAGTTCAATGGTGATAGAATAAAACTGAATATCTAACACTTTCTTGTTTTCATCAATTATCTCGATAAAGTCAGTTTATGATATTCTAGTAGTGTAGGGTTCATCATAAGACTTGATATTAATCTCTGATAATGTCATAGGTAATCACTATTGAAGGTTCCCTATTTGAAAGTAAAACAACTATTCACTTTTTCTGGTTTTTAATGATATTTCAAAGAAGATCAATCTTTAGGGAATATCACCTTCAAAAACCAGTAGGTAGGAATCGAACTCAGAATATTCAATCTTTCACGTGGATGTTCAACCTTTAGACCATTGAACTGGAACTTAATAGTGTAGAAATAATAAATAAATTGATAAAATGAACATTAAATGTGTGAAAAAATTAAAATAAACAACAACTTACCATCTTTATTCATACCAACTTCAAGACATTTAGTTAATCGACATGCTCTACATTGATTACGATGAGATTTATCCACTCGACAGACTACGATACCAGATTTACTGCCAACTGTTGTACCACGACTTTTACATGTATACTGACGATTACGTCGTATAGATCTCTATAAAAATGAGTAATGATCAATTTAATAAACGAAAGATATATATATATATAGGGTGTTTCGATATAGTCAACAGGGAACTTCAAATATCTGTAAAGTTCACTCATCCTAGTGAGGTGACTGAAGCGTTCTATGATATTCGATCTTGCTTCACTTGATTTCACAGTCTAAGACATTGTCACTAGGTTATTATAACTCACATATTTCCGTTGATTAAATACTGATTAGTGTCAATATACATATAGACAGTTTTCATGACAGATCGTTAAAATCTGTGTACTGGACAACTATTAGTTCATATATAGGATTCAACAATAATATTAAGGCATAACTTCATAAGGGATTATACTTGACATGTTCAAGCGTTACAGTGAATATACCAATAACTACTAGTACTACTTATAGTAATAGTAATATTGTACTATTTGGTATAAGAAAATATAATTGTTACAATAAATATGACGATCTCTCCCAAATAAATTGGTATATTTTGAAGCAATTCACTCAATAAAAGACATTGTATAGTTCAAGTTCTCATCCATCCACCCCTTTTCTAAAAGTTTATTCAGATTAAATTAATGAATCTACTTGCATGATAGTATCCATGTCGATGTGTTACAAATACACATGGATACACATACATTCACCTCTCTCTCTCTCTTTGTGCGTTTGTGTATATATATATATACATATAATGAGAGAAGGATACATAGTTTAAGTACTACTCAATTATATAGCCCACCTGCTGTGCTATTCCATACTTATTTGCCTAGAGAGAAAGAGAGAGTGAATTAGTTCATTAAAACGTCAAGCTTTTCAAAAGCCAAATTGAACAAATGAAACATTGAATTGAAATAGTTAATAATAATAATTATGATTATGAAAAATCATATGATTTCAGCTTTTTAGTTTAATGATTTCGTTGTAAATTTTGTTGCCATCATTAATCTTTACTTGTATAGTTAATAAACATTATTATCATTACTAATATTCAATGTTATCAGTAGTAAAACCATTAATCTTGGTTTGTTTGTTTAAATAGATTAAAACAACTGTAAAACAACAATATGGATCCTTTTTTAAATCATAAGATCACTGTCATCATCATTGGTGTTACATTAAATAATATCTCTAAACTTACTAGGTAATAGAAACAGTAATAGTAGTAGTATTGGTAGTAATAGTATCAGTAGTATTAGCAGTAGTAGTAGCGTTAGTAGTAGTAGTAATAGTACTAGTAATAGTAGCATTAATAGTAGTAGTAGTAGTAGTGTTAGTATTAGTAGTAGCATTAGTATTAGTAGTGTTAGTAGTGGTATTATAAGTAGTATCATTAATACTATTAAGAATAAAATGATTAGGAGTTACGATATATAAATCTCTACATATATGAATGACTGACAGTTGAAATGATTACTTGACCCTTTTCATCTTTTATTGACAGAAGTGAGTACAGAACTATTCTTTAAACATTTATTTTTCTTCACATCATATGATATGAATATAATACTCAAGGTATTTATCACTAGAAAGAGGCCTGTTTTTTTTTTCTTCAGTAAATGTTCTAAATTGATAGTGTAGAAGAGAAGGGGTTGGAAGAGAGTCTATAGAAGTACAAATAAAATGATGAATTACATTTCAATTAGTTACACAATGTGAATATACATAGTACAGATTAGTTTTTTTTTACTAAGATGACCCATCACCTATTCACAATTGTTTCTCGTTTTCAATTATTGTTTAGCTAAAATCACTCCATGATAGTTTTTCTACGTTTTTTTGTTTTCAGTAGTGAATAAATTTATCAGTAATATATGAATGATGGTGAATAGAAAAGAAAAATCATAAATATGAAGGTTAAGCAGGTTTGGTGGTAATCAGGAGAAAATGTAACATTTGCATGTATACTGGTTATCATGGTTATCATTTATGGACTAGATATATACAAAATGTACTGATAGATATTGAATTACATAAGAAGATAGAATTTGAACCACAGATGAAAAAGATTAAAATACAATAGATTTGGAGATTTGTGCAGGTTGTTAAGGGCTATGAAAACTATCAATCGACCTCAATTAGATAAACACTAAAAACTTAGAAGTCCTGATCATCTATTTCGTTCTAGTACAGAATTTCTCAGAAGTGCGCATCCATAAGCCTATTGAGGATACTTTACTTTCAGATCACTGAGTCAGCATCAAATGGTTTGTATTTCTAACTTCAATCAGCGTAACCATCTTCTATTGTCTTCAATGGATAGCTACCTCACATTTAACATTATTAAAATCTATTAATCACAGTTTATCATTACAACTCCGGAAACCCCCCCCCCATGAAACTAATCACTAATGAGCACATGGTAATTGTCAGTATGAATGTTATTGAGATTGTTAGATGTTATTAAGGTCATAAACCAAATCGACCAAAGTTAGACGACCATTGAAATAGTTGTCCAGTGTTTCCTCCTACCTGAAAGTGCATTCTTTTTTTATAATTTAAAGTAATATCGACATTCGCTTGGTATTATTTAGCTTGTATCTTCCCATTGAGGTTTAAGACCGCAATTGATCAGTCTGTTATTGGCATATGCGCATATTGTGCGTATGCCTCGATATTGCCTTAATTCACAAGCTATTTGTAAGCAATGATGGATAGTGGCTGGCAGTGGAATCCAAGACGCGGGTTTCGTCCTATTTGGGACTGGTCAGCTGGATGTACCTGCATCTCAGAATTGATTTCCACTCTGGGACTTGAACCCAGTATCATTCGCTTCAAATGCCATCGCGTTATCCACTCAGCTGCTGATTCCTGATAGCCACTTGCTTGTGCAATCGGATGAATTTAAATTCACTTGGTATTGTTTGGCTTGTACCTTCCCATTGAGGTTTAAGACCGCAATTGATCAGTCTGTTATTGGCATATGCGCATATTGTGCGTATGCCTCGATATTGCCTTAATTCACAAGCTATTTGTAAGCAATGATGTTACTAAGAGTAAAGCATGAAAAAAGCGCGGATATTATTAGCTCAATATTCAAACCAAAATCAAATATAACATGTAACATTACTTCTTTATATTTCAACAAATCATCATCATCATCATTATGATTAACTTACTTTGAAAAATCCTGCACAACTATATCAATCAAGTAGAATCAATCAATTTCATAAGTGTCAATGTATTGTAATCGTTAATATTATTATTAGTAGTAGTATTTTTATGCAATTATACATGTAAACGACAATAGTCCACATTTTCATAAAGATGCAATTACATGAAGTAAATTCAAGCAAAACAGAAAGAAAAGAACACAGACAACATTAGTGCATTGAAAACGTTTAATATACAAGTCATTGACAACAAAGAAATATAATAATAACTACAAACTATCCCTTCTGATGTTAACCAACATATACTCATTAGTGACTGGCGCCAAAATGTATTTCCTAGAGTTCTAGTGAGAAACAGTAGAGTTCAGGTGGGTCAGTTAGGAGATGGTAACTCACTAATGACAATGGTGGATGTGTCGCTCAATTTCGTGGATTGGTTGAAATTCGACATTAACACGGTTGGATGCTGACCGGCTCAGTGGTTTAGTGGTTAGACATTCGCGTGCGAGACTGATAGGTCCTGTGTTCAAATCTCGCGAGGCGGGATCGTGGATGAGTATTACCACTGAAGAGTCCCACAACAGGATGAAAACCCTAAATCTAATTCCGAACCTTAGCCATCAAACTGAAAATCATAATTCTAATTCCTCACACTGGTTTATAACCCTCATTCGGTCGTAGTTATAAGGTGGATACTCTCAAGGTCAGTCTGGCGTCGCTCAAAGGTCATCCCTAACTTATAGTCTTACTATTGGCAATTTTTTTCTATGGAAGAAAATCAAAGTTACCTTATTCAAACTACTTGTAAGTAAACAGATAAACACCTCCCATATTTTATAGACTTATATGAATCACTAAATAACAAGTAAAGATTAAGAAACTGTTTCATTCTATTGATAACAGTTTGGATTTTCCATTAATTGATCAGTCTTTAATGATGTGTATATATCCTGAGTAGATTGCTTGTATATTGCTATTTACTTATGAGCTTTTATTAAATTAAGATAGTAGATGGTAGTAGAATCTAAAATGTGTGTTTCGTCCTGTTCGGTACTCATCAAGTGGACAGGGCTGAAATCTCAGTATTTTACTCTTCAAACACCAATGTATTTTACACTAAGCTACTAATTTAAGATAACTGTTAAATTGTTCAATGTATATGATGTTCAGATTTTCATTATTACATAGTTTGAATTAGATCTTATCAATAACTGTTTCTAAACAATTTACTCATGAAGATTTCGAAACTAGGAATTTCATATCATTGTGTGATCTTACCATTTTTACACTACTATCAAACACATGAGAATCCAATTGTATTTTTGATGCTTACAAAACATCCATCCAAAGTCATTCATTGCTTTGAAGACATTATTTGACTGAAGCCGGAAAAATTTCATCATTCACCTATGTAACTACAATCATTATGAAGATGAATAAATCTCTTCTAGTCTTTTTTTCAACCAAAGGATGTGTTTACTGCGCAGCAGTTCGTCCCGTCCTACTTTATGGCAGTGAAACATGGCCGGTAAGAGTAGAGGATATCCGTAGGTTACTAGTATTTGATCATAAATGTCTTCAAAACATTGCTCGTATATCTTGGGACCGCCAAGTAAGTAACACAGTTGTTAGGATAAGGGTACTAGGTAAGGATGGCAAATTAATTGATGAAGTAATGAGACTTCATCAGTTGAGATAACTGGAACACGTGTTATGTATGCCCAACAAACGACTGCCTCGACGTGCGATGCTCGATGACATAGGAGTAGGTTGGAAGAAAGCTAGGGGCGGCCTGACGAACACATGACACAAGTTCATGAAGTCACTGACAAGTGGACTGAGTCATGTTGGTAGGTGTAGACTACCTGGTTGGGGACCGCGAGATGATAGAAACCGATGGTTAGAGACTGTGAATAACATTGCTCAAAATCGTTTCCACTGGCGCAGGTGCATCCACTCTTTGTGTTCTCCCAAATTCTAATCTTGTGAATCCTCCTTGTCTCTTTTTTTCTCTTTCCAAATTTATTTCACTGGATTATGCTCTTTAAATAACATCTTCAAACCCTAATCTTTTCGATTACTGCTTATACTCTTACCGCCTCTACCACTACGACATGTGAATTGACAACTGCATCTCTGTGCTAATGTTGTGTGGCAACTCGAACTGATGTACGTACGTACGAAGTTTTACGCTGTTACTGACTGATTGATTTATCTACACCCACAAAAAAATTCTCATATTTTCAGTTCATCTGAAAAATCTTCAAATTTCCCCAAAATCATAGATGGGTTTTGTGGATATTATAGTAATTTAATTGTTGAATTCACGGGTCAATTGAAGCTGGACAACCATGGAAAACCTGGAAGCACTGAACAGCCCTTTCGTCTTAATATGTGACTCCTCAGTGGTTTAATGGTTAAGCGCTGGCGCTGGGTTCTAATCTCGTGAGGCGGAATCGTGGTTGCGTGCTGCCACTGAGGAGTCCCTAGGCTGAAACGGCAGTCCGGTGCATCTAAGTTTTCCATAGGGGTCTAGCTTCAATGGACTCATGATCTCAACTATTATAATTACTATACGTGTATAGATAATTGAACATTGGAACATCTTCTTTAAAAGAGAGACAATTATTTGTATACACATCTATGTATCATGTGAATACAACAAGTACAAACATGATATTCTTGTCGAATAAATTTGGACACAGTTAATCACTTTTTACAACATCTACAAAATTGGCAACAACTGACACCATCTATTGTAACAACAATACGAAAAAACAATGTTTTATTCATTAAAACAATACAATATAACTTTGTATATTGATTATTGAACATCTTTAATAAACTCATTCCCATATCATTAATATATAATAGTCATTTTACTAACCCATCACATGCATAGATACCATAATGTTTTCCTGATGAATGATCTTCACACACGTGACATGGAATATCCAATAATATCCGATCTATCATGTATATAAGACAAGAGAAATTAAATCATTGAATATCCATATCCATATCCATATATATATATATAATTGAACATATGCCAATGAATTGTTTTAAAGATTGGATAGATGGATAGATTGATGAATGAATGAATGAATGAATGAATGGAGTGAATTTGGTGTAGGAAGTCATTCAATTCATTCATATTCATGATATTCAGGTAAACAATAATAATAATCATCATCATCATAATCAACAATACACATAAATGTCTAAACATACATACATAGAATAGAGTAGACAACACGTTGCATGAAAACTAATAGAAGGAATAATAATAATAAGAATAAACTAATCATAACTATTGACATTAACTATATACAACTAAATATTCTTTAAGTAATATATCTCTATATGATAGATAAATAACTCATAAATCATAACACAAGTCATATTGTTTACTATTGAAACATGATCATTTATTTAAAACAATGTAAATGATACACCTATCACATATAGTGATAAGTATTAAATCAAGATGTGTCTACTACTAATACTGATGGTAGTCGTAGTAGTAGTGGTAGTCGTAGTAGTAGTAGTAGTAGTAGTAGCCATAGTGGTCATTGTTGTATGATTGATAAGAAATGACATGATTTCTTATTCAAGAAAAGTAGTAGAAGAAGAAGAAAAAGAAAAAGAAGAAAAAGAAAAAAAAGTATATGAAATGAATATTGAAATAGTTTAATGAAAATTATTGTTTTAACACATTTAAGATAATTCATTGATTAGTTTGTTTTGTTTTTTGTTTTGTTTTTGTTGTGTTTTTTTCTCTCGTTGTACTCACGACAACAGAAAGAAGACACAGTAATAAAACTTGATTCTTTTCATGAAAATAAGAAAAAAAAGTAGAGAGAGAGAGAAAAAAAAGAAAAAAACGATGTATAAATAAATGATGAACAATTAACTGTCAATCATTTGAAATATTGTGTGTTTGTGTTAATATTGATGATTTTTTGTTTTGTTTTAGTGTAATGAGACAAGGTAACTGACTTAATGAAATGACTGTTTTCTTTTTTTTTTCTTTATTTATAAATTGTATTAGTTGTGAATTAGTTGTTTGAAATGGTGTTCCACTATTGAACATTTAACAAGTAATAATCAATATATATATATATATATATATATATCAATGGTTAACATCATGAGTCAGTTGAAGCTAGACCACCATGGAAAACCTTGAAGCACTGAACGGCCGTTTTGTCCCATTGTGGGACTCCTCAGTGGCCTAGTGGTTAAGTGCTCGCGTGTGAAACCAATAGGTCCTGGGTTCGATTCTCGCAGGGGGCGAGGTCGTGCATGCGCACTGTTGAGGAGTTCCACAATAGGACGAAACGGCCATCCAGTGCTTCCAGGTTTTCTATGGTGGTCTAGCTTTGACTGACTCATGATTTTAACCACTGAAATTACTACAATCTCCACAAAACCCATCTGATATATATATACGTTGAGTGTAATAGTAATTTCTTAATTAGTAAATTTTGCAATCAGTGCAGGAAAATTTCTTTGATACAGGACATGAGGTAGATAGATACCTTGCAATCCTTTAAAGTGTTTAGTAAGCAGCCAAACTCCAGTCTTCTGAAGTTTGTTGAAACTGTTGCCATCAGGTGTCAAAAAACCTAACTTATATGTTCAAAAGGTGATGGTTATTAATCTTTTCTTGCCTTAGCGACAAATATTTCTTTGCTACATCTTAAATTTTTTTCTTTTTCTTTAAGCTCTTTCTTGCATTTATTACATCATTGAGTTCTAATTTCATCTATCTTCTAGATCCAATTGTTGTTTATTCTTCTCATGTCTGTCTCTATTTCTCGGAGTAATATGTTCTTTAGTCTTCCTCTTCTCCTTTGGCCTTGAAGATTCCAAGTGAGGGCTTGCCTTATGACGCTGTTGAGTAGAGTACTTATGCATACATTTCAAATGAATTGTAATCTGACTTGATGATTTATTTATTTAGCCTAAAGAACCAACTTACATTCTAGAAAAGAGCAAGAACAAACATTCTAGCAGAATAGCATGAATTCATTTTTATTTCGTTGGTTCTCGTCAGCTGCTTACAACCTGTGATATTTAAAATCATAATTAATGGGTTTAAATTACTTACATAAAAGAGTTTGATTGGAAGTTATATTAATGACATATTCATATAGTATAGCAAGGGTGTAAATAAATTTAATAGACTGAATATTGTAAATATATACCTTATGTGATGAAAGAACATTGTGACAACAGTTCAAACGGTTAGAAACAAACAAACCTTGATAGAAATAAAATGAGTAGAGTTCAGTTGATAAGATAAAATAAGATAGTTGGAATAAAACCCAATGGTGTAATAAATGCAAGAAAGAGTTTAAGGAAAAAAAAGAAAAAAAATTAATAAGATATAACGAGGGAATATTAATCACCAAGGCAAGGAAAGATTAATAACCATCTCCTTTTGAACACATAAATCAGGCTTTTGGCGCCTGATAGCAACTGCTTCAGCAAACTTCAGAAGACTGGAGTTTGGCTGCTTACTAATCACCTTGAATGATTGTAGGGTATCGACCTGATGTCCTGTATCAAGAAGATGTTTAGTGATTGCACTATTTAGAGTCTTTCTTTCTCTTGTTCTGAGGCTTTTTGGGACATGTTCAAAAAATCTGAGATATGCCCTCCTTTCTGTTCGGCCAATGTAGCTGCTTTGGCAGGTACACGTAAATTTATAAATACAATTCATGCTATTCTGCTAGAATGTTTGTTCTTGCTCTTTTCAAAATGATAAAGGGAACTATGTGTATGAAATTACATTCTAGAAATTTCATTCACATAGTTCTTGTTATCATTTTGAAAAGAACAAGAACAAAGATTCTAGCAGAATAGTATGAATTCTTGCATTGATTACATCATTGAATTTTTATTTCATTTATCTTCCAGGTTAGTTATCTTATTTTTATCAACTGAGCTTTATTCATTTTATTCCATTCAGTGTTTACTCATTATGTAATCACTTGTTTCTGGCCGTTTGAACTGTTATCACAGTCTGCGTTGTAGTATGTTCTTTCTCATAAGGTATATATTTACAATATTCAGTCTATTAATTTAATTTACGCCCCTTGCTATGCTGTACGAATATGACTTCAATATAACTTCTAAACAAACCTCTCATATAATTTAAATTTTATAGTAACATTAGATAGTGATGAATGGTTGTTTCGTTCTAGTATGGGATTCATCAACAGAATACACATCCAAGATCCCTCGCATAGGAATTGAACCTAAGATCTTTG